CCCCAAATAAAAGACTACTCAAATCCTATAACCCTAAACCCTTAATCCCTAAACCCTAAACCCTAAATAGTAGTTTCCATTTTCTTTTCCATTATCCATAGTATCCCCAAATAAAATACTACTCATCCTGCCTGATCTTCAAAGTCCCTCCGCAACTGCTCTGACCTCCAGCTGTCCATCTCCACCTCGCCCCGAAAATCTTGGGGTGTAGGGTTTAGGGTTTAGGGTTCAGGGTTTAGGGTTTAGGGTTTTAGGGTTTTAGGGTTTTGGGTTTTGGGGTTTTAGGGTTTAGGGTTTAGGGTTTCCGGTTTAAGGCTTAGGGTTCAGGGTTTAGGGTTTAAGGTTTAAGGGCCTAGGGATTAGAGTTATGCAGGGCGTCAGGAGCTTAGGGCTTATCCCCGATATATACCCAAAAAATGCAATAAACCTTATGATAGGACCCCTCAATTATGGAAATTCCCATATACGGTTGAGGGATAAGGGTTTAGGCTGGCCATCTCCGCCCACAACATAAGACTCTGAAGGCACATAGCTTCAGGATCTAACCTCCTCCAAAAAAACACGGAACCTGAAAAAGGGGCCCCTTGTAGAATATGGCCCTTGAAACGGGGGCTGTATCACATCCAGAGGTGTCAACTATGCTAAGAATGGCTAGGCAACCTTAACCTCAATGGCCTTGACTCCTTAGCCAAATCCAAAGTAGTTTCCCTAGATAGGAGGACCCCAATATAGACCCCAAAATACTATAGTCCTTGTTATGAGGACCCCTAAGTAGGTACCCCTAGTATGAAGATGCCAAAAACTACTCATTATTTCACTGTTCAGCCATCCTCTCTTGAGTAGTGTTTTTCAGTGGTTGAATCCAGGAAGACCATGTTCTCCTGACAACAGCCGAAAACCGAAAGGAACATACTGCGGTATCTTACTCATGTTGGGGACGATTATATCTCCATACGAACTACTACTCTGCAGGGCATGGAAGTGGAGTTGACAAAACGATGAAGGAGCTCCATTAACTTGCGCTGAGCAGGTCCACGACAGAATCCGGTCTGCCAGTAACTAGCTGGGATAATGGAAAAGAAAATGGAAACTACTATAGCATATTGGGGATATATAAGGATGATTACTATAGACTATAGTATATTGGGGACATATGAGGGTAATGGAAGAATGGAAACTACTAAAGTATATTAGAAGCCTGTATGCTTCAGGTGCTTCAGTGCTTTGAACGAGCAATCTCAGGCGTCGGGTTCATGAGCAACAGCAGCTGCACTATTTCAAAGCAGAAGCCACCTTCACCCCGTTGACATTGCACTCTGCGCGCGGGCAGAGGATCGTGACCTCCGTATGACTGCTGGACGTGCTCCCAACATGCAGCCAAAGTTTGCTTAGTGGGGGTGTGCCAGAATTAGAGTTACCTTTCTGGGCGTCCCTATAATAAGGAGTATACTACGGGGTCCATATTGGGGTACCCCAATTTGGGGAAACTACCTAGTGGCGTCGGCCACCAGCCTCTGAGATACAAGTCCTGATGAAAAGCGCTCACATACACATGCTTCTACAACCCTGCATGCGTGGCTGGCGGTCGCAATGGAAACTTCAACTGCCAAACCCTACACCCCTGTCACAGTCCAAAAACTCCCAAAATGAGGGATAGCATTTTAGGGGTCCCAATAACAAGGATAATAGTATTTGGGGGTCTATAGTGGGGTCCCCTTATTTAGGGAAACTACCATTTCACACTGAAAATTCATAGACCGTAGGACTTCAACAGCTACGACGAGAGAACACTTGTCTTAATCTGGTTCATGTTTGGGATACATTTTTCACGCAAAACCATGCCAAGGAATTTTCACGGTTACTACAGTACTAGATATGGAAAAGCCCAAGTTATAGCCAGTAAATTTCCCATAGTCTCTTCTAATCACTACATGTAACACAGAGGTGTTTTGTAGCATGCCTACCTAGCCCCTAAGAACGAAACCCTTACATCCTCCCAGTTTCCATTTCGTGCTCCAAGTTCTTGTCCTTCCATGCTAACTCGAAGTCCTGGGCCCTGTATGTCCTGTGCATTGCCACTATGGTGGTTTACCAAAATTAAGGTACCCCTATATGACCCCGTATTTACTAAAATCCTTATGCTGGGGGCCCCCATGCATAGAGTACCCCAACTTTGGGAAACCCCAAACCCCGAGCACCCAAAATCCTGAACCCAAAACCCCGAACCCTATTGCCCAAAACCCTAAGCCCTAAACCTTAATGCCCCTATCAAACCCTAGAATATCCCTGTATATTCCTCGTACACATTTTATTAGCTTTATCCCAACAAGACCCCAAAATCTTAAACCCTAAAGCCTATATAATCCCGTTATAGTAGTTTCCATCTTGTTTTCCATTATCCCAATATAACCCCAATATATCCCCTATATAATCCCTATAGTTTCCATTTTGTGTCCATTATCCCCATATATATATATATGCTATAACCCATATAAACCCCCTACATTGCTGTTGTTGCGAAACTCCAGGCGTCGCACATTTAGCTTTCCCAGGGCCTTAGCCGTGGCCATGTCACGCCAGGCCTGAAATCCCATGCAGCCCCTTGCTAATCGGTTTGTACAAGTATATACACAACTATATATGGAGTTTATACGGGGTATACAGGGATATATAGGGTAACATAGGGGTTTCATAGAATATTGGGGGGCTTCCTAAAATTCGGAATACTTCTTGGGCGGTCCTTATCATGAGGATAATAGTATGCTGGCGTCTATGTTGGGGTCCCATATTTGTGGAAACTACCACATGTATATGGTAGTTTCCCAAAATAGGGGGACTCCAATATAGGCCCTAAAATACTATAGTCCTTATCATAAGGAACCCCAAAATGGTACCCCTAATTTAGGGAACCCCCCATATACAGGTATGCGGTTCTATGGGTGATGCAGCGCTTAGGTCTTAGGCCTTAGGAATTTTCGAAACTGGGGGTCCTTGGGGACCCTGGGCAACTAAGAGGACCACAAAGAGACTATAGGAGGATTATAGGGTGTAGGGACGATCAGCAGCTTTGATGAAATGCCACTTGGAACAGGGGGATGTACAAAGCCTACTGGGTGCTGGGACAGAGCATATTTATATCAATTACCATATTCTACAAAAACAACAAGAAAGACAGGAATCTCGCTCTGCATTGCGGACTGTAGTACCCCGATTCGAAGTATGACTCAGCATTTGCAATCAAACGTATGGACCATGCAGGCCCAGACAAGATTACGGTGAATGCTCCTGCGTGCGGTCTGTCTTGCAGGGGTTATAATAGGTGGAGGCCCCGCTGGAAATCGCCAAACCTTATGCAAACAATGAAAACAGTTCTAGCAGACATGAAGAAAGTCATACCCGTGCTACTAACTAACTCTTCTGAAGCTAGTTCATAATACCCTGAACCTCAAACCCTAAGCCCTCTTCTTGACCCCCCCAAACCCTAAACCTTAAACCCTAAACCTCAACTCCCCACATCGCGGGCCTGGAGTTGTCCGGCTTCTGCAGCCGACGCAGCCTCCAGT